TGCTTTCACCAAATTATTACTTATTATCTGATCAAAGAAGCTACTTATCACTTTTAGGGTATTAAGTAGGTAGAACCATACATGTGTTAGGATGTAGTAATGATGAAATAGCTTTTGAATGTAGCTTTTCGTGTTTGTAGGCGAGGTCTGACTTGTGCCCAACGCAAAGAGGTTAGGTTTAGGCCATGCCCAGTGTCACCTTCCTCGTAAAATTGATATCAAGTGACATCAAGAAAAACACTTCACACCCAATGTTGATAAGTTTGGATCCTTTTTAGAAGCCATGTCCCCGATGTGACTATCTTCACCTGTGAGGCAGTTGTAGAATATTCTCTTTATAAACTCGCAATCTACATAACTCACCTTCTCCAAATTTCATAAGATTAGATCAATTACTCATACTTACAATGATGACATCATGCCTAGGTGCCATGTCCTAAAGCTTGTTTTCTCTTCCTCTTGTTTGGGTATATTTTTCCTTGAAATATTTTCCTTATTTTGACCTTGTATTTTGGGTCAAATAGTGTAGAAATTTGTTATTGTATTTTTATTTTAAAGGTGTATATAGTAGTTTAAGAGATGTGCAACTAGTAAAGGCTATTTGGACTTATTGGGTTTGAATGGCCCAAGAGCATCACCTTGGACACTTGGTCCATTGGTTTGGTCGTTCACTTGCTTGGCCACTTGCATTGGACGTCTAAGACAATGAGGAGACAAGATGTCTTTTAAGCCATTCAAAGAGCCAATATGTCACATAGTCTTATCTAGTCACATTAAACACACCTTGCCACATGATGAGCTCCCATTGGCTCTTCTAGATCTAGAATGGTGACATAAGTCACACTTTGCTTACCTTTCCACATAGCAAACTCTCATTATTCATTATAGATCTAAGATGAATTGTGAGAAGTAAAATTGAGTTTTCTCCTTCCAAAAGTCTCAGTTCTCTCTCTTAGAGACATTTCTTCTTAAAAACTTTTAACAAGGATTTTCTCTTTGTAACAAGTTTTAATACTCTTGCTTATCCTCTCTAGAAGAAGTGGCACATCCATTTCCAAATCTCCTCCATCATTTGAAGTTTGTTTTGGCATTTTTGGAATCCAAGGAAGAAGATAGGGAGCACTAGAAGCTAGTTGAAGAGAAGTATCAATCTTCTTTAAGCTAGTTTCATCATATTTTGTATCGTGAACTTTGGTTCTTCCATGGAGGTTTCTTCTTCATTTTTTTTTTGTGTTTTCTAGTAATAATTATATTTCTTGTAGTATTGTTGTTGCTTAGATCTAATTTTTTGAATGTTATATGATAGATCTAAAATGTCTTGAATAACTTTGGTTCAAAAATTTTTAGTACTAGTTTCTATGAAACAAATATTTGTGTTCTACCTTAGGATTCTTATTCTATGAGCTTTCCTGATATCTATGCAAATGCTAATGTCTTAAAAGTCATGTGTAGTCCTTGTTATGTCATCACTTCTAGTAGTACTTTTTAAATCTTGCAAAAATACTTTATATGTGTACTGGATTGAAACTGTATGTGTTCTTTTTTATTATAATATTTGAGTTCATGCATGTTATTAGATCATTGACATGTTCCTAGTAGAGTTAGGTTTCCATATGTTAGTTTTCACTATTTTTTATTTCTTTGAATTATTTTCTATTCAAATTGATTTCAAACTTTGGTGAAACATTTTAAAATCTTGAAGATGTAGTAATATGAAGTTTTAAGTCTCTCTTTGAAGTTCCAAAAGTTTTAAAATCAAAGGCCTAATTAAAAATAAGAGTAGTAGCATTATTTTCACCAATTTTTGGAGTCCTTTTGAATTTTCTCTATTTCTAATTTTTTGCAAAGTTGTATTCTTATTCTTGGTACATATTGTGACATTATTGTAGTACCTAGAGTAAAATAAAATAGTAAAAAAATAGCTCCAAAAGAAAAATAAAACAAAAGTGTAAAAAAAATTACAAGAGAAAAGAAAAAAAAGTATGATAAAAAACTATGTGGAGCATTTTGTGATAAGTATAACAAAAATAATTGTCACATTTTATTTCATTTGAATTTTCATTTAATTTGGAAGTAGATTTAAGCCTTCGTTACTTTTGTGGTCCAAATCTAGAACCTGTCATAGGATTACTTCTTTGTTGTTTTAGCTTTCAAATTGTGCTTTAATTTTTACTTGTCTAATTCTTAGAGTTTGGCCTATTTTTTAATTGTGATTTTGTTGCTTTTTTTAAAAAAAAATTATTTCTAGTGTTGTTGTGTTGTGCTATTTCGTTTGTGAAGGTAAACAAAGTTCTTACCATAAGGTAACATCTTAGAATGTTGAAGAAAGCTTAGGAGAGTTGGATCCTTTGGGAGAAGCTATCTTTTGGAGGAGCTTCTATACTAGACACCATAGAGTGGAGTGCAAATACTAAAACACTTTTACACTAATGAGTTTGTTCATTGTGTTGGAGAAGGATTGAAGATTTAGAGACTTGTATTTTTGCTTTTAAGCTATTAGTTTTCAATCTTTTTTGTAAAGGTTTCTTGCTTTGGAAGTGGTGTTGAGAGGTTCTAAGTGTCCACTCAAAACTTTCAATTTGTTTGTAAAGTTCTTAGTAGTTGCATTTAATACTCGTGAAAGTGTGTTGGGAGACTCATAAGTTTCCACCCAAACTTTCACATAGGAACATGTCTAGCTTGCATCTTGGGGACAACACTTTGTTCCTAAGAAGTTCCTTAGTCATGGTGGCTATATATCACCTCAATATTTTGGAAGGAAAGGAACTTTAGTTGTAGATAATTGAGTTTTTAAGAGCCTAGGTGATCATATAGGACATCCAAGACAAGTCTTTTTAGAATTTAATAATACATCTCTTTTAGGAAAAAATTAGCTTGAGTATATATAGTGTAGATAGAACAAAAGGGGTTCAAGAGAACCCTTATAAAATAAAATTTCTTATGGATATCTTTATCCCACACTTAGAGAGAAATAATAGGTTAGGCCTTTTTGATCATCATATAAATAACACTTCTAATACTTGCATTTTATTCTCTTTTGCAAGTGGTAAAGAAGAAGAAGGGGCTTATGATTTGAGGAAAATTCCTCTTGAAAGGGGAGGGGATGATGGCATCATCCCTAGGGGCCATGTTATGAAGGAATCAAGAGGAAGGAGCTAAACTTGAAGAAAGAAGGCCTAATCTCTTATTGAACCTTGGGCCTTATTTTGTAGGTTGTTTCTCTTACTCTTCCTTGTGCATATTTTTTCTTGAAGTATTTTTCTTATTTTGACCTTGTATTTTGGATCAAGTAGTATAGAAATTTATGTTCTTGTATTTTTTATCTCAAGTTTAGGGTTTAGGAGAAGTGTAACTAGTAAAGACTATTTGGACTTATTGGGTTCGAATGGTCCAAGAGCATTTTCTTGGACATTTGGTCCATTGGCTTGGCCACTTGCATTGGATGCCCAAGACAAGGAGAAGACAAGATGTCTCTTAAGTCGTTCAAAGAGCCAACATGTCACATGACCTTGTATAGTCACATCAAACACACCTTGCCATATGGTAAGCTCCCATTAACCCTTCTAAATCTAGGATGGTGACATGAGTCACACTTTCCTTGCCTTGCCACATGGAAAACTCTCATTGCCAATCTAGATCTAAGATAGTGACATTTGGAGAGCAAGTGACCAAATTAGTTAAGCTAAACTAGGGTTAGTAATTTGAGTTCAAGTTAACCCAACTTAGGTTGTTTTAAACCTAGGTTAGCTTAACTTGCACCACAAACTACCAAACTCTATATATAGGTCTCTCTTGTATTTTGGATGTTACTTTGATGAATTGTGAAAAATAACATTGAGTTTTCTCCTTCCAAAATTTTTAGTTCTCTCTATCGAAGAAACTTCTCCTTAAGAAATTTTATCAAGGATTTTCTTCTTGTGGTAAGTTTGACACTTTTGCTTATCTTCTTTAGAAAAATTGGCACATCCACTTATGAAACTTCTCCATCATTTGAAGTTTGTTTTGGTGTTTTCATAATCCAAGGAAGAAGATAAGAAGCACTAGAAGCTAGTTGAAGAGAAACATCAACCTTCTCCAACCTAGTTTCATCATACAATCCACTCAAGGATTTACTCCTTGTGGTAAGTTTAACACTTTTGCTTATCTTTTTTTAGAAAAGTTGGAACATCCATTTCTAAATCTCCTCCATCATTTGAGTGCATAACACCAAAACAACCTTAACCCTTAGAATGCATAAACTCATCATCCAATTGATTGATTTAGAACAAATATATAGATCACAAAATAGAACAATAATACATTTGTAATTGAGCTCATACACATGAATTCCCATCAATCAGACAACCTGTGAGGCTTAGGGGTCGTCTCTTTATCCTTGCCCCTCATATATGTCCAAAGGACTTACAACCTCACTCCCCCCTACTTAGAATGACGATACTATGGAACAACACACTTCTTAATGCTTGTATCGCTCAGCTACATCTTCTCTGGTGGTCTCCTCTAGGTTTTCTCTTATGAGTATTATAGGTTTCAGAAAATGTATAATAACCTAATCTTTTCTCTCACTTTTTTATTATTATTTTTAATTAGCCTCTAAGTTGGAGCTAGAGTCTAATCCAAAATCTCATAATTCACCTCAATTTTACTTCATTAATAAAAGTATTTCTCTTATATAATATTCTAATTATTCTAATTTATTTATTATTTATTAAAAAATGAGATGTTATCGCTTGAAGTTGTAGTGGAGGTGGTGGTGTGATGTTGGATTGAAAAAGCAGCAATTTCTCTAAGATTTTAGTCATGACTATTAGAGATCCCACATCAACTAGTAAGATGATCATATTAGTGCATATAACTTAAGAACAATCTCGACTTACATCTAATTTTGTAAGATTGTTTTAGACTCCAAACTACTTTTTTAACAATAATAAGTAAAATTCTCATGACGAGCCTCTCAAATAATTTGTTAATTACCAAGCTATGTCTTAAGAGTAGGGAGCTTTGAATTTAGATTTGTGAGTGTGCACGTCTTCCATATCTTTGAAAGAAACTTTGAGATGCATTTAGTGGTACAATAAAAATACCAAATTGGTAAGAAAAATAATAACCAAGACTTTCATGTCTTTGAAAGAAACATTGAAAGACATTTGGTAGTACAATGAAAACATCAAATTGATAAACAATCATATAATAACTAAGAAGAAAGCTAAGAAAAAAAAACCGTATATTAGTTTCATGCCCAAAACATAGATTATGACTGATATTTAAAAAGAAAAAACAAATAACGGTTTTATTATAGATACCCTACACGTGGTACTGATAAAATGATTAAATAATACCCTAAACTTATCTTAATGATGTTGATAAAATGATTTAAGTAATATAGTCGTTGAGCTTGGAAGGCTTCCTGACGAGTCTCTTGAGAGTTGAGGTCTTGGTATCATTAGGATCAAAAGTATTATTAGCTATTGGGCTTGATATATCTGGTATTGGGCTTGTGGTTGGGTCAGTGTTACTCAACCAAGGTGAAGGTCTTGAGATAGTTTTTGCCCTGGGCTTTATCACCTCCTGAGTTTTCACCTTTTCATTGCTTACCACCTTATGAGAGCATGCTCTCCTGCGAATGTAGGTGTTCCAGTAGTTTTTCACATCATTTGGTGTTCTTCCAGGAAGTCTTCCTGCAATCAGGGACCATCTACATACACACAAAGTGTTTATACAAAATTTATTTAAGTGACTTTTCTTTAAAAAAAAAAAAATACAAAAATGAGTTTATTGTGTAAAATTATTCTTCAAAAAGTTCATAATTAATGACCGCAAGATCATTTAAAATATTTCTGTGTATGTTCTGGTTAAAAAAATTATCATCATTTTAAGTTTTAGTTCTTATAAAAAATATTATATGTTTCAGCCACGGATCCACATACATTGTCAAGAGTGGGGGCACTTGTCCCACTACCATTTGATACATATATATTCTTTTATCCAAAAAATAATATATTTTAAAAAATAAAAATTATATTATAATAAAATAAATATATGTGTTTAAATTATCATATGTATAAAATATAGATTTGGAGAAGATATTTATTTATTAGATGTCTGTCAAATTTTTTATGGAGATTAATTCTCTTATATGATAAAAAATATTCCTTAATAACGAATTAATTTTTTAAAAAAGTTTAATTATTATATATATATATATATATATATATATATCTATATAATATAATATGTTAAAAAATCAATTTTTGATAAAATAAAATTTGCAACATATATGTTTAGCTTTTGTGTTTTCTATTTATTATATACGTTGATTAAAAAAAATCAAAATAGGAAATATCGAAAGATTTATGTTGTATTTAGAATTTTTATTTTAAAATATATTTTAAAATAAACTATCATCTAAAAACACATATTAGATATTAAAAATCATGTTTATATCATAAATAAATTAAACTTGATTTTTATAAAATTTAACATATTTATTTTTATGTTTTTTAATTAGTGTTAAATTATTATAAATTAGGTCTTTAAAATTGTAGTTCTAATCAAATACTTTAAAAAAAATTTATGACAGATAAATAAGTCATACTTAGGATATATTTTTTTAAAAAGTATATTCAAACTTACTAAATTATAAGATAATCTAGTATGACCTAATTTATTTTTATCTTTAATTGTAATCATAGATATAAAAACTTGTAAAAAAATAATTATGATATATATTTATACTTTTAAAAGTTATATGTAAAATTTTTAATATTATAAATACATAAATAAGTATTACTCCCACAATCTAAAATTTTTGGATCCATCATTGGTTTCAGCCCTGTATAGTTTTTTTCTCCAGTTTATTATCATAAAATAAAATTTTACATCACTAATAGTTTTAACAAAATAGAGGGCAAAACTTATAATTTTGAGGAGTGTTCCACATACTTTTCTCAATACATTACATCATATTAGTTAAAGTTTATTAAAGTTTTCCTAACATTTTGTGAATGTTGAGGAGAGTTAGTAATACACTCTTTAATATACTTTTTCTAATAATATACTCACTCTCATTATTAGTTAAAATTTATTAAAAATTATAAATTAATAGAGAGAGAGTCATCACCAATTTTGTGTTTTAAAAAAATCAAATAATTAAAAAATATGTATTTAAAAGAGTATATTATTAACATTTCTCATGAAAGGGTATAAGAAAGACATTATAAGTAAGGATAAGGACCAAAATTTAAAATAAGAATAATTAAAAAAGATAAATAAATAATTTCACCTTAAGTTAGTGCATGTTTGACATTAAAGAACGTGGTTAGAAATTTGTTAGAAAGAGAAAAATCACGTGGTTTTTACTTAAAAATGTGGAAGCTATGTTGCTTTTTAGTTATGATAAATCATATCCATTGATCAAAAAAATATATCACATCTTAGAACGTGAATGATGGGCTTAACTCAATCTTACATAACCAATTTGTAAGATAAAAGTTATCTATCATTTATATATTATTTTATTGTTTTATCTATAGTTGACGAGGGACTAAGATTTCTCCCAATGCACCCTCAAGTCTAATATTATTGGACTTGCTATATAGATAAATGGTAGAAGACCCATTTTCAATGATTTAGGATATGCAATACTTGAATTTTTTATAAGACATCCTCTTAGGCCAAACATTATTGAGTTTGATGTGTGTATCAATGACGAATGATCATTTTTAGAATGAATCTAAATAATCATATCATCTTAAAATGTGTGTAATAAATTTAACTCAACTTTACAAAAATAACTTATAAAATAAGAATTGTCTCCCACTTATATATTTTTAATTACCTTATTTTTAACGGATATAAAACTTGAAAATTTTCCAATATCACGTCGGTGAGACCAAATTTGTTAAAATACAAAGAGTCAAAGACAGATGTAAAATTAAATGCTATCTAATGTAACATTTTGCATCCAATCCATCTTAACATGTCACTAAAACATCCTTTACTTTTTACAATGTCAATAACAAAGCTTAGATATAATATTTAATGTAAATTATCCAAACTCCCATCCATCATGCTGATTAATTCTAATTGGTTATATGATGTCAAACACAATTCTAAACACGTTAACCTTAAACTATTAAGTTGCCAGTAAAAATAGTAATATAATATAATGAGATGTTTAACAGTATTTTAATTTAGAGAAATTATTGTCTTATTTCAATAAATTTTATTGAGAATCTTATTTAAATAAGTTCTTGTTTACTTGCATAATTGCATAAGTTTCGCAATCAAATGTTATAATAAATTTAACTCGTATTCACATGGATGCATGCATCTATATCTGCAGATAATAACTAATTCTTTGTCAGTTAATAACTAGGACCCATGTTAATGTCACAAATAATATAAATTAAATTTTTAAATACCTTTTAATCTTTATAATTTTAATATTTTAGTATGTATATTTTAAAATATTGTTTTTTATTCTCTACACACACATAATTTTTTTTAGTTACTGTAATTTATTTTTCATTAATATATATTGTTTATGTTGTGATGACACGACAAAGATTATTTGACATATTTTTTTAAAATATATTTTTAGTCTTTATAATTTATTTTTTTTAGTTGAATCCATATAGTTTAAAATACGGCCCCCTTTTAACCCTTATGCGTAACTCCCCCTTTAATTAGTTTCTGTCATTTATTTTTCATGATGACATTTATATATATTGTGATGACTTGGCAAAGATCACTTGAAGTTATCTCATAAGGTTTCATCGTCTAAGCCAAGACCACGATGTTCATTGTTGAGCTATAATATTGTTCCTTTCTTGCTACAAGAGACATAGAGTTGGATGTCTTGATAGCTTGAACCTATAAAAGGTCTAAGTTGTGATTAACATAGTACGAATCATTTTTCTTCATAGGAAGATGAAGTTTAATGAGTAATAATAAGAGGTTTTCTTCAAAGGTCACTTATTGTATATGCAGATAGAGGTGAGACTATATTTATCAAGGATTCAAATTTTGGATGAAAATTATTGTGTTGTTCAAATTATAGGGTAATATAATTTTGATTCTTGGTTTTGTTGTAGGTGTTTTATAATTTTTAGTTATTGTTTTTCATATGAGGTTTTGATGCAGAAGGTATGAAGTTGTAGATATTTTTGATGGATGGATGAGATGACATCTGAATATATCTCTTACATATTACTTGAACAATTATGGTTACTCTTTAGATATGGTTTATTGATGAAAAATATATCTATTTTTGAACACACCTCATTCATGTAATGTGAATATATAGTTGGTTACTATTTTTCTTCAAAACTAATAAGATGACATGCAAAAGTATATTTAGATGTCGGTCCATCCACTCATATGAAATACCCACAACTCTATACCTCTTGCATCAAGAATTCAAATGAAAAAATAGTAATAAAAAATTGAAAAACACTTACAATAGAACCAATTAGGAATCAAAATTGTATTACTCTATAATTTAGACACCTCAATAATTTTCACCCATATTTTTTGAGTTTTTGATGTATATAGTTTCATCCTTTTTATACATACACAATAAATGATCCTTGAAGAAGACCTCATGTTATTGCTCATTGACTTCCTTTCTCCTCCCTTAAAGAAAAATGATTCGTGTTTATGTTATTCACAAATCCAAACATTCTATAAACTCAAGTGATCAACACATTTGACTTCAACAATATCCTTTGTCACAGGAAAGGAGCAACCAAAACTCATCAATGATTATTATGGATTTCGAGTTTAAAAACAAACATAGTCACTATAATCAAATGATGAAATCTAACATAAGGCAACTAAAACAAATAAAGAAAAATTCATGCCAGAAAGTACCACTTCGAAGTGATTTTTACTACGTCATCACAAAACAAATTAATGATGTTAATGAAAAACAAAAGACCAAAATTAAAAAGAAAAGAATTTATCTAGAAGAACTAAAAAAGGATATTTTAACCTTCATTGACTAAAAAAGAATTAGTAAATGAAATTATATAGATTAAAATAAAAAATAAATGAAATTATAAAAATAAAAAATATTTAAATAAAAATATCACGTCAAAGTAGCCTTTACTATGGCATCACAACATAAACGACTTTAATAAAAAATTAATAAACGATAAAGACTTAATAGAAATAAAAAATAATAATAATATATGTATAATAATTAAAATGATTTCAAGTCATATGGATTAATAGAAAAAGTAAATAATAGGAAAAAAAAAGTATTTAAACCTAATTATAAATACACTACCTGTTACCCAAAAGTTTATGCAATCTTAACATGATATCAACTTCGTCCTCAGCGAACTCTCCCCTCTTGATATCTGGTTTTAGATAATTCAACCACCTCTGTCTGCAGCTCTTGCGGCACCGGTTCAAGCCTGTAAAAATTCAACTATCTATGTAACTAACAAATAACAAAACTGATTCCTGAACCATTGCTAACTGATAATAGTCCATTCACTCTGTCAAAGACAATGAGAAAAATGAACGAAAGAAACACTGAAATAAAATATTCTAGAGTCACATACACCCTATAATAATATAATATTTATCATTAAAATTTACTTTTACATATATTATGAATATAATGTATGTTAATATATTATTAAAAAGTATAATTATAAGTTACAGTAACACACAATAATATATATATGTTATTGAATATTATTCATAATTAACACAAAAATTATGCATAAATATACATATATATATATATATATATATATATATATATATAATATTTCTAATAATTAAAGATGAACTCATGCATCTTTTTCAACAACCATTTGCATGATACTTTTTTATAATTATTATATATTGATCCATTACTATATGATATAAAGTATCATGAAAGTAAACATTACCCGCTCTTGTAGGCACCAAGTGCCATTTTCCTTCCCCATATTGTCTCACACACGCCCTGAGAAGGTCATCTTCTACTTCACTCCATGCACCTTTACGTACACATACGGATCCTTCCATAAGTTACAAGTGCAAAAACACAACACAAGACAACATTAACAACTCACCATTTTATATAACTAGGCCTAGCTATCTAGCTAGTTCTCTACAATCTGTTGGCTATTTGAACGTATATATAGAGAAGATATCAACAAATATAAACGTGCAATGTTTGTGTCCACAAAAGTTAAAGATTACATGTAACCCGCGGAGCATTGCATGCACGTTCCATTTATCGCCCGGCCCCCATGGCCCCCCTCTTTCCCAAACAAGGCAATAATAAAATGGACCAAAAGAGGGTGTACTTTAATTTTTTAACCTAAAGCTAACTTTAGCTTTAATTAAATATTTGAGTATAATTTGTTGGAACCATGAAAATGGAAATTAAAATATATATTATTTATCACTGAAATTACATCAAAATCAACGTTAATAAATGATAAAATTAAATAATAATGGATAAAATAAAATAAGAAGAATCTTTACAGAAATTTGGGTTGAAGTAGGTTAAACACTATCCTAGAGAGAAAATACTCACTGCATTAATGATATATTATTTGTAATGTACTCCGCATTGATTATTATTTTGTAATGTGCTCTTCTTTAAGATACGATAACCCATCAGATTAATTATATGTGGTGAAAGATCTCTTTATGCATAACTTATTGCTCCAAAAGTTTGAAAGGTAACTACAATTGATGAGAACTTGTTGAAACCATCTGAATTATTCCATCCGGTTAATGCTATTAATTAAAACGTAGTAACATAACTGTTTTAATCCTATTAATTAAAACGTTAATAAACAATAATTAAAATATTAAAACAATTAAATAGAAATTGAATAAAAACAAATATTTAATTAAGTTTTAAATTATAATAAAATTTCAACAATTCCCCACTAATTTAAATTTTAAATTTTAAATAAAGAATCAAATTTAAATATTTAAACACTATAAAATATTGCAACCAACTTTTGAATTAAAAGATTAAAGAGAATAAATAGTAAAATATTGAATTTAAATATATCATGACTTCACATCACTATTGAACCACATGAGACCACTCCATTGGGAATTTATTCTCCAAGACAATTTATTGCATTTACACAACCATTAAAATTCATTAAATATAACCAATTTATATCATTTATATTAAAATAATAATTTCTATTTTCGTGATAAATATTTTCATAAAGAGATTCTAATTTAGAATCAAGTTTTTCTCCTTAAGATTGATGGAACTATAAAAATAGAAATTAAAATATATATTATTTATTATTGAAAATGCATTAAGATTAATATTAACAAATGATAAAATTAAATAACAATAACTGAAATAAAATAAGAAGAAGGTTTAGAAAAGTTTTGGTTGAAAAACTTCTCCACTACATAGTAAATTATTTTGTAATGCCTTCATCTTCTAAAATACTATAATCCATTAGATCAATTAATTAGTGAAAGATTTTTGAACCACAAGACACCACTCCAAAATATATAATAATTGTGGTAGAAATAATATAGAGATACCTTTTACTTATGTTCTCTCTATATTTTCCCTCATGCATAGGGGTGGGCAAAACGAACTGAATTGAACTGAACTTATAAAAACTATACTGAACTTAAAAGTAGTTCATATGAACCGAACTAAACTAAACATTAGTTCAGATGAACTGAACTGAACTATTCTTTTGTGTCATTGAACTGAACTGAACTATATTATAAAAACTTGAACTGAACTACAATTTAAACTACACTAAACTGTTATGATATTTTGAATTGAACAATTTTGACTCATTGATCTATCAAAATAGGACACATTTGCCAACTTTACTTTATTTTTCATTTTATTTAAATTTTTCAAAGGAAAAAAATATAAAATTAAGTCAAACAAATTCAGTGAATTTTAAGCCTAAAAATAAGTAGTTCATCATAGCTCAATTGATCCGTTAAGTTCGACAAAATTGATACAATTTTTTTTTCCAGATCACTTTTTTTTCTAAAGTTTTGGTTATTAGACTATCGAGCTAATCCATTAAGACATAACATGTTAAACACAATTAATTTTTATTCTTTTATAAAAATAGTTCAATTTTTATAATTCAATTCAGTTTTTATAGTTCAGTACAGTTCAACTTTACAACAATTCAGTTCAGTTCAGTTTTTTTTAAACAGTTCAGTTAAGTTTTTTTACAAATAGTTCAGTTTTTTATAATACAATTCACCACCAGTTCAGTTCAGTTCAGTTCAGTTTAGTTTTTTTTGCCAACCCCTACTCATGCATAACTATTTATAGGGTGAAAACTTGTTGCTACAAGTGTAACAGGTAACAACCACTATGCGTCAAAATTGCTGATGCTAGCACTGACGATCGAGTAACTAGCTAAAACCAACACCAAGTCAATGCTATTAAACTATAGTAACAATAACCGTTTTAAACTTTTAATCCTACTAAAACGTTAATAAACAGTAATTACTAATATTAAAACATTTAAACAGAAATTAAACAAATAAAAACATTTAATTAAATTTTAAATTATAATAAATTTTCCAGCATAATTTTGCAGCAATGACTCTAAATTATGAGCAGAAACACACACACACAAATACCCCCACGAAACAAACACTTTACTGTAAATTCCTTATATGTAGCTGAATAATTAATTCTTAGTAAGACTCAATTTACTGTAAATACTCAAATCAACTGCTACAGGGGTGTAGAAATTAATATATCTTTGAAAATTCTGGATATAGTACGAGCACTTTCCAGAGCTATAGATCTGTCTGGTGGTTTATAGTAAATGCCAATTCAATGAGGCTAACAAGACAGGGAAATAAAATCATCAGAAAACAGAAGAGACAAATATTAGAGCAAGAAAATCATAGAATGAGTCAACATTGCAAGAAAAAGAATGACATATGGAGTGCAAAATTACTTGGCATGGGGCCAAAATTATTTTGCAAAATTATAAAAACATATTTTTAATAAATATGTATTAAATTTTATATAAAATAATTATAATTATATATCTTAAAATATTAATTACATTAGTAATATATCAAAAACATAAATAAAAAAATGTTTATAGAAAAGTATTAACACCATAGAACAAGGATACCCTGCTGGTTAAAAAATGCTTTTATACCGATTTTAGGATCAATGTTGATTTCACCAATGTAAAATGAGAGAACATTTTACATTGAATTGATGTAAAAAAAAAAAAAAAAACTTTTTATACCGGTTAAATTTATAACTTATGTAGAAAAGTGTAATAATCGATGTAAAATCTAACATGCTACATCAGCTATATAACAACCCGATTTTTATCCAAAAGGAAGTTGTCGTCTTTTCTTTTTATGTGTTTTTTTTATATATTTATTTTAAGAGGATTTGAAATTTTCTACTTAGAAGAAATTAAATCAGAAATAGCAAAATTTTCTTAAAGTGAATTGTATGATGTAAAAAGGGATATTCCCATAAACATGAATTTAATCGTTTTTTTTTCAGTAAAAATAAGAAAAATTTTAAGTGAAAGATATTCATTTAAATAATTTAAATCAATTATTTGAGTGAAAATTTAAGTCAGTTAATTAATAATATGTTGCAAGAATTAATTATCTAATTTCGATGAACTTTGTGCTATGTTTATGTAGTAATAACAAAAAGAAAAGTATAGTATAATTATAACATAAAGTTGTAATGTGCGAATTGCTATAAGAGGTTTGGGCTAACTAGTTATGGACATTTGGTCATTGGCTGATAATAAACACACCTCCACTCTTGTATAAACACACCCTCTTTTTTAAAAAAAAAATATATAAAATGTCTAAATTATCCTTTTTAAAAAATGAAATTCTTAAATTTACACTTCCCTTCCCCGCACCCCACACTCCACACCCCTCTTCTTCCCAAAGTCTCTTTCCGCTCAATGTCATTAAGCAATATACTTTTACAGTAATTCTGAATAGAAAAAAAGGACTAGCTCCACCATAACCAGCATAAGAAAGGCTCTTTGCCGATGAAGGATTTGACTCCGGTAAGTATCCTTTATACTAAAGCTTCTTTACAATGATTTTCTTTCATATAAGTGCTCGAGTTAGGATTGTTGACTCGAAATTTGAAGTATACAATGCATTCCTGACCGATTCCTTTCTCAATACCGGGACATCACATGCGTACATAAGGTCAACCATTGCGTAAAAAGTACATGCATGGAACATTATCCTGTATCTGCATGTAAACTTTAGTCTGGAACGGCACCAGAACGGGCCGTTCTGCAAGAAGAACGGCCCGTTCTGCTTGCAGAACTGTCCGTTCTGCAAGCAATATGACCCGTTCTACAAGCAGTATAGACTGTTCTGCTTGCAGTACGGGCCGTACTAAAAGCAGTACAGGCCGTTCTGCTTGTAGAACGGGCCATTCTGGGGCCGTTCTGTTGCAGTACAGGCCACCGCGTCACTTTTAAAATGGCTACCTTATGACTGATTTTAAAACTCCGATTTTAAAAGTTATTTTTGTACTAGTGTGTCTTTCCATAGAACAAGTAAGAGTCTTTCTCTTACAAGACCACCTGCTGACATTGTGCACCCCTCTTCTTTTTCTTTCTGGCACTCCTCTTCTTCTTCTTCTTACTGTTACGGAAAGTTCTTTCCGGAATTATATAAAAATGTTCCGGAAAATACTTTCCATAATATTAAATTCTTATTCCGGAAAGTATTTTCCAGAAATGTTTTGTTACATAATTCCGGAAAGTACTTTCCATAATATTAAAGTTACTATTACGGAAAGTTCTTTCCGGAATTATATGAATAATAATTTTACTATTCCGGAAAGTACTTTCCGGAATGCTAATGACTGTAAAAGTACTTTCCAGAATGCTAATGACTGTAAAAGAACCTGGGGCTAGTCCTTTTTTTCTATTCAGAATGATTGTAAAAATATATTGCTTAATAACATTGAGCGGAAAGAGGCTTTGGGAAGAAGAAGGGTGTGGAGTGTGGGGTGCGGGAAAGGGGGGTGCGGGCAAGGGAGGTGTAAATTTACGAATTTCATTTTTTTAAAAGGGTAATTTAGACATTTTTTATATATATTTTT